AACAAGTTCAAAAGATCCCAAATACACAAGATTGACAGTTGAATTTCTCAGTCAATTGATCAATTTTGACTATATACTGAAAAGTCAAACTTTGACTTTTTGGTCAAAATCAAGAGTCAAGATTCATTTTTCATCAAAACATGCCAAATCATGAAACTTGTTCATCAAGAAATCAAAAAATGCAAATTAGGGTTAGAAATGAGAATTTTTCATAACTTAGAATTTTTCTAAGTTATGAAAAACCCTAATTTTTTCCCAACTTTGCCTCACTTTCTCACCAAGATTCATTTGGATTCAAACAAAAGTCAAAACATGAAAGTTGTATCTTGTTGCATAATCTACAACTTTGATTCACAAAGTTTTCCCAAATGAGGCTTGTATCTCAAGTTACAATTTTTGGAATAAGGGTACTAAACCATTCTTAACTTAGTGAAATTTTAACCTATTTTGGCATGGTTTTCTACCTAACTTCAAGACCATTTTCCATACACTTCCACTTGGAATTTCAATTTTCATTTCAAAGATGGATTGTAGTACACATTCAAAGCTTTCTAAAATGTCCAAGAACTTCTCAAACAACCTCATGGTTAGGGAGAATCGAATTTTGCAAAATGGGAAAAAGTCACTTTTGTTCTTGGCCAAGACATGTTCATACATTGGTGCCATTTTGAATTCAGCATGCTTAAGCTACATTGCAGGCCTCTAATCCCATTTTCACTCAATAATTCAATGCAAAACCATTGTGCCAAGATGTTGTTCTATGCATTTGAACATTACATGGAGAATTAACCCTTAATTAGAAAAAACATTATTTCCATTTTGAAAAAGTAGAACTTTATGTCCATTTTGCAAATCCAAGTGGTACAGTCCAAATCTTCTTGGCACAAGTTTATGAGCAAATTGCACTGATCAAGGCCAATGTATGCAGCATAGTGTGAGGGCCTGTACAGGCTAGAAACATCAAGTGGCCTTTGCTTGCTTAAGTGTGAAGAAATATAGCATAACAGATAAAAAACTTCCATTCCTGCAAACCAAGCCTTAGAGAAAGTTGTCACACACATTCTAAACATCAAACACAAGCTGAAGCACGACCCTAAGACCACCAATACCTCCCCATTGCCAAAATCACTCTCAAACTGCAAAAACAGAGCAACCTCTGCAGATTGAGTTCCAACTCTTAATCCTTTCAAGCATTCTTGCCCAAACCACTTCAAACACCTTCCCTACCATCAATCCAAACTATCCAAAGCATTAGAAGCAACCTGTAACTCCTCTAATCCTTTTGGCCATTTTCACTTTTCTGATTTGCAGGTGAAGTGCTATAGCACGATTCAAAAGGTTTCAAGACAAAGTAAAGCTTGGAATAGCATCCCTGGACATCAAGGAAGCTATACCAATCATCACCTTGCACTGAAAGCTTCTCCATTGCCAGATAGAACTTCAACTGAACAGGTAAGTTCATGAACTCGTATCTCTCTTATTAGGCATTGTTAGCTTTAGGTTTGTGAAGAGAATATGTCACATTCATAGCCCTGAACATGCCCATGTAATTAGATTTCATTTATATTATGTGTGCTGCAAGAATTTCGAGTCTGAACATGGCATAAAAACTAGGTCAGAAATTGGGGGAGAAGAAATTCTCCCTCATCTTAGAGAGTTAAGTCAAGTTCTTTACATGGTTGGATTCGTCTTCTCATGCTCTACATTTTTCATGTTGTGAGTTTTGCTTGAAAGTCCAGGAATCAAGAGATGGAAAACGCGTGTTCTGGTTGTTCATACAGGTTTGAGGTTGAAGACAAAGTCTTCTTGGGCTGGGCCTGAGTTGACTTTTCTATTTGCACCCTTTTGTTACTTTTACACCCCCCAAGCCCATTTTGCTTATCTTTATGATTTTTTGACATTTTCTTTTTTGTCCTGACTCATTTATTTTTTCTAACAATATTAAAAATATAAAAATAATTTTTTACACCATTTTTTAATTTATTAGGTATTTGTTTGATTAGTTTAGTTTTATACACAAATAAATAAATATATACATTTTATTAAAGAATACTAAGAAATATGCAAAAACATTCTTATTTTCATTTTTTATTTTGTTTTACCTTCTGAAAATATTTCATAGGAAAAATACTTTTTTTTTATAAATATTAAATATTATTATTTTTATATATAATACATATTTAGAAATTAATACATATACATATATATTTATTAGTATATTTTAGTTAAAATACAATAATACCTACATTTTTTATTTTATTAATATTTGACCTCAAAAAAATACTTTTTATAAATATATTTCATTTTATTTTATTTTTTGTACATAATAAATAAATACTTGTATAAATTAAATAAGATATATATTTACTTAATAAAAATTAGGGTTTTACCCTTAAAACATAAAAAACTCCAAAAATATTACTTTTTTTATTTTATTCATTTTTTGTTTATTGGACATAAAAAATATCTTTTTTTTTCATACATATAAAAACCCTTTTTGCATTTTTACATCTTTATCTTATTTTCCATTTAATTGATGCAATTAATTATCTTGTAAATATTCCAAAATTAATGTAATAGCTAGGTTTAAATTTCTTGTCAAAACCCCCATTTGAACATTTGTACCCCCCTTCCCATATTGTGTTGTAATAGTGTAGGAATTTTACTTTTCGCACTTTAACGCTTTCTAATTATACCATGTTAGAATTAGGGTTTGTATGCGAAAAAACAACGAAAATAGTTTTGACCTAATTTCAAGATAATCAAGCATGAAAATGGACACACAAATCACACTTGCACCCCCTAGGGAATTCCACTTGTTGCCTTCAAATAAATGGGCCATATTGCATGTTAGGTTTCTTTGGGCAAAACAAATACAAACAATCAAATGATCATAGTCCCTCGATGACGCTTTCGAAAAGTTGCCTAAAATGACCAAGTCCCTTTCAAGTAAAATTGCCCAAAGACCCTTAGCACTATTGCAACTATGGTCTAAACGATGACCCGCGCCCGTCCCTTTCACCTCCTAACACAAGATTGTCCACCAAATGCAATGGTGGAACAAAATTGTTAAAAGGGTTAAAAACATAACAAAAATCTTTGAGAACTTTAGGGTAGATAGCTCTTAAGTACTTGTCAATTTGCAAAAGAAAACACTTACCTATTTTCAAACCACACTTCACAAACACTTTTCAAAATAAACTTTCAAAAACCTTGAAACATCTTTTCAAAAAGACAAACACCTTTTGTAAAACATTCGAGTAAAGAATTGTTACAAGGGTAGCCTAAACAAGGCATCTTTTTCAAAACCTTTTCAAAGCCACGCACAAAGCACCATTTCAAACAATTGTAAACCAAGGCAAGTTGATCTAAGCAAGTACCTAAGAGCCCATGGATAACCATGGATAGAAAGGATGCTAATACCTTCCCTTTCTATAATCTACTCCCCGAACCCAAGAAAAATCTCAAAGGTTTTTGCTGTGCTTTTTAAACCTTTCCTTAGGATAAAATAAAAAGTCGGTGGCGACTCTTGCTCAACCGAAACATTTGCGAAAACAAACGCAAAACCATAGTCAGTTCTCCCACCGTATCACATATAGTAATCCACATATTATAAAATGACTGAAGCATATTACAAAATACATATAAGCCGTCGTTTTTCTATTATGGCTCCCTTTGTTTTCCTATTTTCATATTTAAGTGTTGAATATTTCCACACATGTAAATAATTGTTTTAATACGTAGTTGTTTAATTTATTATCTATTGAACTTGTAGATATTGCAGACTCATCATCGTATAAAAAAGAAGAAGATAATTTACTATATTTGACAACTTTGGGCTCAATGTTTTTTGCAAATAGTTAAAGAGCAAAAGGTTGTTGAAGAGCAAAATCTACAAGACCAAATGCAAATGGCTGAAGAGCAAAATCTACAACATCAAATACAAATGGTTGAAGAGTAAAATCTACAAGACCAAATATAAATGGTTGAAGCCCAAAATATTTGGTCTAATGATTTTTTTTAAATAGAGTTCTTTTACCCATGTTATAAGATATTTGTTTAATGAATGCTTAGATTCAACGGTATACAAATATTTGGTTGAATGAAATAGTGTTTAAATAAAATTAAATATAATATAATAATCATATTTTATATCCGTGATAACTAAAATTGGATGTAATATACCATATTTTTACACTTTATTTAAAGAAAATAGAGTGTAAATTTGTTGACATTCATAATAAGCATTTACACTCGTTTTCTATTAAAAACGAGTGCAAAATATCATATATTTACACCTATTTTCTACTAAAAAAAAGGAAAATAACATATATTTACACCCGTTTTCTATTAAAAAAGAATATAAAATAATATGGATTTATATCCATGTTCTATTAAATATTAAAAAAAGGTGTAAAATACAATGTATTTACACATGTTTTCTACTAAAAAATGATGCAAAATATGTGTATAAATTTAATAAAAAATGAGTGTAAATTACTATTTTTGTACTACTATGACACTTTTTGACAACATCTAAAGATAATGGAACCAGGATAATGTATTGCCATTTTTATGTTTTGATATTTTAAGAATAATTTCACATGTTATGTAGTTTTGAAGAAGTTGAACAATTTCAAAGACTATACATTTAAAAGATTCAGTACTAAAGATTTAAAAGATTCAGTTGAAAACATCATTAAAAGATAAAGAAAATTGAAATTTTTTAAAAGCAATTATAAAGTTATATTAGAGGGATTTAAGTTATCCTCTTTGAAAATTTCTAAGTAATTTATCCAAAAATTTTAAAAATTAGTCACATATATAACATACAAACATATAAGATTTTGATTATTCATAATATAACTTTAAAAGTAACTTAAAAAAATATTGTTTAGGTTACCTTAGGAAGTAACTGATAAAAACATAGAACAATAAAATAAAATTTATCATTATATTGCCATAAAAATATTAATATGTGGTTATTTGTTTCTTCGGTTCTAGTCATATAGTTGTATTTCTCTTCCATTTAGGAGTTGCACAGGTCTAGCATTCATCTCTGCATGCTGCACATAGAGTGGTCCATAGATAATCAATACTTATAGATGGTTCAAGTTTGTATCAAGGTGTTGACAAAATAAGAAACTAGTTTTTAAGTTTTCTTACCAAAATGAAATTGCTTAATTATTGAATTTAGTGTAACACAACAAAGTAGAATACTTACATCGGGAACAACCTCTTCTAGTAACTCCAACTGCGTTTTAGACACACTTTTTATCTGATGATTGTGAAAATTTATAAGTTCAATGAAATGAAAAAATATTGGAAGACTTTCATAATACAGAAAAACATTCCTTTAAGTTCGATGCTAAAATATGTCTTTAAAGATTGTCTAATAGTTCTCTTGAGTCTAATGGATCCACTGTCTTACCAACCCTAACCTTTTATTATTCATTCTTTAGAGATTTTTGCGTGGATTAAAATTTTATTCATCGTGTTTGTTTTAAGTTTTATCAAATTAAGTTCAAATACAGATAAAATAATTAAAATTTTACATTTTTATGAAAATAAGAAGTAATTATTCATTATTTTTATTCTAAATTATTTTAACTCTTATATTTTATTAAAAAGTATAAATTAAATATATTTTATAAATAGTCTTGAAAACTTAAACTATTTATCAAACACAAAGATAAAAATAAAATTTTAATAATAAGATTCTCGAGAATAATATTATTAATATTATAATTTTAATTTTTGAAACAAATACATCTTTAGTTAAATAAAGTTTATATTACATTTCATTATGTTATATCAAACTTATTTTAAAGTATTGAGAGTCAGATGAATTTCATAAGAAAGTAATGCTTGAAAAAATTAATTTCAAGTGAATGTTTCTAATTTTATTTTTCCAAAAATTAAAAATGGTTCTCATTAAATATCAATATTAATTTAATTTTATATGCTAGCAGCACATTTTAGCAGATACTCTCTAATTAATTTAATTAAAACAAAGTCCATTATATTTATGTGAAACTAATATAATTTAATAAGTCTCATTTAAATTTTAACTAATTAAATATCATGTTTAAGAGACATTTATTATATAGTATGGTGATAACACTAAATAATTTGCATATTTCTTGTTAAACAATTAAACAATTATATATAACTTAGATTATAATAAATATAAGTACCTCTTTATTAATAGTCCAAATGACACCTTCATCACAAGGAGGGATTGTGAGAGAACCCATGTATCGATAATACTTCTCGCATCCCACCTTGATTTCTGAGGGATTAATCACACCAACACCTCTTCCTGCTTTAGTATCCTCAATGGTTTCTATATAATTTGACAACTGAAACAGTTGCAAATATATAAACATTCAAATAAATAAATATATGAAAAAATATTCAAATGAATGAATGTTCTAGTTAACCATCCGTGAATTTAAAAATTATTGTCCTTTTTTTCTTCATTCCATTTTTCTTTTTCAAAAATGATTTTGCTTAAAGAGTGACAAAAAACGAATTTAGTTGAACCCAAAAATTGTAAGGAGACGTAGATGAGAGAGTCACAATCCATTGTTTTCTTGAACTCCAACAAATCGCTGCTCCACTTAGTAGAAAGACGTAGCCCAAAATACTTTTTCTATCGTCCACATCTCGTGCATAGTCGTTGTACGTGTATCCCAACAGATTCGCATTTGTGCCTTTCTTGTAAAAGATTCCCAGCTCTAATGTTCCTTTCATGTACCTCAGTACCCACTTAGCAATCATCATGTGTTCTTCTTTAGGTTCAGCCTTATAACGAGAGATTAAGCAATCAACAAACATCAAATTCGAACGCGTTACTGTTAGATACATTAAGCACCCTGCTACTTGTTCGTACATCATTGCATCAACGCCTTTGCTGCCTTCCTTTGATAAAATAGTGCCAGAAACTATTGGATTCTTGACACCATTACAACTCCACATATGGAACCTTTGCAAGACTTCCTTAGCATACCTCTTTTGGCACAAATGAATTTGCTCTTTACGCTGATAGATTTTAACTCCAAGAAAAAAATGTAAGAACAAGATTTGGTTCTACAATATTATCTCTGAGTTTTGATGATAACAAATGAGTATGTTTGTATGAACAATCTTAATACTCTAATGTTTGTTATTATTAAGTACTTAACAAACATGTTCTGCTTCTGATGAATGGTATGGCCAAAACATTAGAAGAGAATTGATTTTGCTTCCACGCTACACAAGTTCGGTTGAATAGTAACAAGACATTCCAGAAGGCTCTGAAGTGTAAGCTCTGATGTTGTTCTAAAGAAATCAGTCAGAAGAACTGGAGACTCAAGTTTCTACTGAAATTCATATGCTAAAGACTCAAGCTTCTAAAGGCAACGTGTTCCAAAGAAACGAAGTTAGAAGATCTGAAGACAAGATTTCTACTGAAGTCCATATGCTGAAGACTTGTGTTTCTAATAACAAGGTTATAAAGATAAGGGTTCTGAAGACCAAGTGCTGAAGACTCTAAAGACGAAAGATCTAAAGATTCTAAAGATTCTAAAGATTATAAAGACTTGAAGTTCTAAAGACCCAAGGCTTTAAGGAAAGTTTCTCATAACCAAGTACTGAAGACTCTAAAGACGCAGTTCTGAGGATTCTGAAGACTTGAAGTTCTGATAACCTGATGTTATGTTCTCTCTTCTAAACTCATGCTCGCAGAAGCCTCTAAAATGCAGAAGAAAAGAAGATAACGTTAACATGGTACAAATGGTATATGGTACAATCAAAATTTCATTCCACTACCATGAAAGGATAGACGGGTCGCACGATCTTGTCCCCCACGTTACTGTTCAAGCTGTCAATGTTTCTGGAAATCCCTAGAGTATCCATCAATGAATATATTATTTTATTGGCTATATAAAGGCTTGAAGACTAAGAGAGAAAGTTGTCAATTCACTGGATATTTACGCGCAAACGATGTTCATAGCTTTCACATTTTTAAGTCATTGTTCATAAAATAGTTTACATACTCATCTTTTTAGAAGCAACACTCTTGTAAACAAAACTTGTATTCAAACAATTGTTTGATATTCCTTAAGGTACCGAGTAGGTCTGTAGTCTTAAGAAGTCTAGAGCTTTCGAGTTTTGGAAGATGTTAGTCACTGGCGGGTAGCTTGTGCATTGTAATAATCAGATTGATTATTGTTTGATATTTTTTAAGGGACTGGATAGATCTGAATCCTTAAGAAGTATTTGATTTGTGAGTCTTAGAAGTTGTTAGTCACTTGCGAGTATCTTGTGCAAATTCTAATCAGTTTGGTTTTAGTGAATGAAGTTCTCGGTTGAGTGAGGCGAAATCACCTTGGCGGATGGACTAGACTAGCTTGATAATTTTCAAGTGAACTAGTATAAACATACTTTGTTCTTTACTTCCTGTTCTTACTTATTGTTATTATCAAGAGTGAAGAAAAAAATATTTTAACTTAAAGGGGAATATTTTAAAATAATAGTTTATTTTAAAAACTCAATTCAAACTCCCCTTTCTTATGTTTTTCACACCTTTAAAAACTTCATTTTTTCCAAGTATGTCATCTCAAACTCCTTCTACATCGACAACTTGAACTCTATTCACATATGCACATCATTTCATGTATAAATTAAATCGTCAACGTAAAACTTACCACCAATAGTTTGTTTCTATTTTTCTTCAAGAACAAGGTGTGATCATAGTCACTTTTCTGAAACCCTTCCTTCTTAAACTGACTCTCAATTTTGCTAAATCAAGCTCTTGGGGCTTTCTTTAAGCCATAGAGCGCCTTCTTCAGCCGATACAACTTATCTTCCTCGCCCCATTTGATAAACCCTTCAGGTTGATCGATGTATACCTCCTCCTTTAATTCGTTGTACAGAAAAGAACTTTTAACGTCAAGTTGGTAGACGCACCAACCATGTTAAGCTGCTACTGCCAAGAGATTTCTAATGGTATCCCAACGAGCCACTGGCGCATACACTTCATTTTATTCTACTCCCATTGTTTGCGAATACCCTTTGGCGATTAGTCTAGCTTTGTATCTATCCACCTTGCCTTCTTCATTCAATTTGGTTTTGTATACCCAGTTAACACCTATTTTCTTTGCTTGATGTGGAAGTGACACAAGCTCCCAAGTTTAATTTCTCTCTATAGCTTGAATATCAAGCTTCATGGCCTCCTGCCATTTTTTTTCTTCTTTCACATCTTGATCAAAGCTTACTGGATCATCATGAGAGATATACAAGGCTAAGTTTTTTTCTAGTACCTCTTCTTCATACATGCCTTCGCCACTTTCATAGTTACTCATCCAAATAGGTTTCCTTCTCTCTCGTCTTGTTCGTTCTTCATGTGTTGAATATCCAGTTTCTAGAAACTCCTTTGTAGTGTCGTATTTAATTTCTTCAACATCCCCATCAGTATATTCTGCTTCATATTCTTCTGTTACAACTTTGTCATCTCCCCATGCAAGAACATTATGCTTTACCTCTATTGCGCTCAAGTTCCAATCCCATTTACTATCTTCTTCGAATATGAAATCCCTGCTTATAATTATTCTTTTGTTATCGAATCATACAACCGATAAGCTTTAGATTTGTCACTAACTCCAAGAAAGATGAACTTGTGACTTTGATCGTCGAGTTTAACTTTTTTCTGTTCAGGGACATGTACATGTACAATGGAGACGAATACTCTGAAGTAGTCAACCTTTGGTTTTACTCCTGTCCACCTTTCTTCAGGGATCATGTATCTTACTACCTTTGTAAAGCTTCGATTCAAGACGTGATTTGTCCATCTCACAGCATCTGGCCATAGTGATCTCAACATCTCCTTCTCAGACAACAAATAGCGCACCATGTTCATGATGATTCGATTCCTTCTTTCTGCCACTCCGTTTTGTTGTGGAGTGTATGCCGCTATCAATTGTCGCCTGTAGGGGCAATTCCGAGGAGGGAACATTTTACTTGGGACGCACCTTTGTGAGAGACACACCACTTGTCCATCTAATACCTTAAGTAAAATGCTCTCTCCTCGGAATTGCCCCTACAGTGGTATCAGAGTCTTTGGTTTTGAGATAGGGACCGGCTTACTTGTATCGAACGGTGGTACAAGTGTATGTGGAAGAGAGTTATTCCACATGAGGGGGAGCATTTACTCACTTTATAAGTGAGAAAACCCACTCATCTATCACCTTAAGGTTTTAGATTGACAAGTGGTGTGTCTCTCACAAAGGTGTGTCCCAAGTAAAATGCTCCTTCCTCGGAATTGCCCCTACATCGTCTAATGTCATAATCCTAGCAGAATTGGTTGAATTTATTTAATGTAAATTATCCTCCCTTGTCAGTTCTTAGTGCGCATATGAATGTCTTTGCTTCCTTTTCAACAAAACTTTTGAAGGTTTTAAATGCCTCAAAAGATTATGCTTTATCAGCAAGAAAATAGATCCAAGTTTTTCGAGAGAAATCGTCTACAAACACTAACAAATACCTTTTACCACTGTCAGAGTTTGGAGTGATTGGTCCACATAGAGCGGCATGAATTAACTCCAATTTCTCGGATGCCCTCCAGCCAATGTTCTTTTGAAATTTTTCCCGCTGCTGTTTTCCCACGTTGCATACCTTACAAACTTTGGCTGCTTCTTTCAACTTTGGTAACCCTTTTACCATTTGTTTTTGTTGTATTATTTGGATGTCCTTATTATTTAAAAGTCCATATCTCTTGTGCCAGAGATTCTCCAAGTATTCTTCCTCCATTTTTAAAATAACAACCAGGAAGTGGTTTTATCTTTGCATAGACCATGAACATACGATTCATAATCATTAGAGTGTCTACTATCAAACCTCTTTAATGATGATAGATTCTGCAAGTACCCTCTTTAATTATAATCACAAAACCTTTCTCCTGTAGTTTTCCTATGCTCAATAATTTGTTATTGAGATTTAGGACATAATTGACGTCAGACACCATTTGTGTGATTCCTTGTACTTCAAACCTGACGCTGCCTTTTCCTTGAACCGCCATCCTTGAGTTGTTACCCAATCTGACAAAATGCTTGAAGCTTTCATCTAACTCAATAAACTAAGTTTTATCTCCTTTCATATGGTTTGAACATCGGGAGTCGAGAAACCAAATAACTTTTCCTTTAGCCTTACTGACTTTTGTGTGTGCCATTAGAAGAAGTTCTTCTTCCTCGTCGAACTCAGTATAGTTGACTCCTTTTTCCATACTTGATCATTCAAATAGATAATGCCCTTTATTTCCACATTGAAAGCGGTTGATGGTTGACCTGTTAACGAAATATCTACCTCTTCCCCGACCTCTAAAGTTATCGCCTCTGAAGTTTTGTTTCCTCTCTGATACATGTTTCTACCTCTTCCTTGTACATTCTGATAGAAGGAAGCAAATAATTTATAACTTCTTATCAAATAGAATACAACCTTCGTCTTTTTATAGACTCGGATTTCTATTATTTTAAGAAAAAAAATAACATTAGTAAATACTATTATAGGACACTATCTTTTGGCCTTCCAACTTCAACAGTCTCTTAATCTTTCCAGTAACTTATTAATAGAAACCCACTAACTATAACATTAAATTTTGTTCAAAAAAACTCCTCTATAAACTTAAAATTTTCTTTTATCAATCACGCCTATCAATTTCTTGCCTCTGTCAAAAATTTCTTTCGATAATGGTTTTGTGAAAATATCTGCTGCTTGATCCTTGCTTGCTACATGCCTCAATTTGAAACTTCCTTCCTTCACATGTTCTCGAATAAAGTGGAAGTGAACGTCAATGTTTTTTCTTCTTTCATGGTTTACTAGATTATTTTCTAACTCAATTGTCGATTTGATGTCCACTTGTATTACTGTTGCACCTTCCTGTTTTAGCTCCATTTTGCTCATCAATCTTCTAAGCCATACTGCATGACAAACGAACCAAGATGCTTAGGATGTACCTTAGATTCATTTCAATGCCTTCCAATGTGAATATACTGGCTGCTCCATGAATCGACTTACAATGACGACACTTAATGAAATGTTCGGCCTTGTACATGTGAGATAGCGAAGACCACCTTCCAAACTTCGATATTTGCTTACTTCGACATGTTATCCTCCATCAAATTTCGACAACTTTGCGCCTGGTTCCATTGGCGTCGAAGTTAGATTACAGCTTTCCATCTTATACTTTTTCAAGATTTATTTTTCATATTTTTCCTATGATATAAATATTCCTGTTTCTTCTTTTCGAACCTCCAGACCAAGAAAGAATCTCATTAGACCTAAGTTTGTCATTTCAAATTCACGTGTCATTATGCTCTTGAATTCTTCTATCATCTGATTATCACTGCCTAGAAAAATAAGGTCATCAGTATAGAGAGCAACAAGTAATACATTACTTCCATTTTTCTTCACGTAGAGGACATGTTCATACGGACATTGCTCGAAACCATTCTCCTTGAAATATGTGTCCATACGCGTGTTCCATGCCTGTGGTGCTTGCTTCAGCCCATATAGTGCTTTCTTCAATTTCAACACCTTTTTCTCTTCTCCAATCCTTATATACCATAGTGGTTGTTTGACATGGACTTCTTCTTTGAGTACACCATTCAAAAATGTTGTCTTGATATCCATTTGAAATATCAACCATTTAAATTGAGCAGCTTGATAAATGAGCAATCAAATTGTCTCCATTCTTGCAACAGGTGCAAATACTTCGTCATAGTCAATTCCTGCTTTTTGCTTGTATCCCTTTGCAACAAGTCGCTCTTTGTATCATTCTATTTCTCCTTGAGCATTCCTCTTTTTCTTGAATATCTACTTTACACCAATGTATTGACTACCTTTTGGAAATTCGAATAGCTCCCAAGTGTTGTTGCGGTCTATTGCTCTAATCTCTTCGTCCATGGCACTTTTCTACTTCTTGTCTCATAGCGCTTCTTTGAAACTGATGTTTTCAGCATCTTCCAAAAGGCATAAAAGGTGTACCTCATTTGTCAAACCATACAAATCTTGAAAACTTGGCATTCTGGGTTGTAGAGGTTCAACTTGTTTTTAGAATATTCATGTTCTGTTGTAGTGCTTGTTGGTACAACAATAGATGATTCTTCAACTTTGTTGAAAACTTCTGTCATGTTCCAGTCCCAATTTCTCCTTTTGTTTATTCGAACGTGTCTACTCACTATCACCTTCTTGCTTATGGGATCGAATATCTTGTACCCTTTTGTCTTCTCATCATACCCAATGAATATGTACTTTTGAATCTTGTATTCAAGTTTCGTTCTTCATCTATCTGGTACATGTGCATAAGCTACACTACCAAATACTTTGAGATGAGAAACAGTTGGCTTCTATCCTCTCCATGCTTCTTGTGGTGTTTGATCTTCTAAATTCAAATGTGGACATCGATTTTGAATATAAATAGCACATTGTACAACTTCTGCCTATAATTCTTTCGACATGTTCTTGCTCTTAAGCATTGACTGAAGCATGTCAAGAACTGTTCAATTCTTTCTTTCAACCATATTGTTTTGTTAAGGTAAATAAGGTGTAGTTAGGAATCTCCTTATGCCCTGCTCTTTATAATACTTCATAAAGGATGTCGAAGTGTAATCGCCACCTCTGTCAGATCGAACTGTTTTTATGTGTCTATCGGTTGCCTTCTTCATCATTACTTTGAACTTTTTGAGCACCTCTAATGCTTCAAACTTTTCTTTTAAGAAATAAGCCCAGGTCTTTCATGAGAAATCATCAATAAATGAAATGAAGTACCTTTTTCCACTGAAAGATTCTGGAGTGATTGGCCCACATATGCCAGTATGAATCAATTCAAAAATATGTTTAGCTTAATATTCCGCCTTCTTTTGAAATGAGGTTCTTGTTTTTTTTTCTAAGCACACATTCTTCACAAAACTTTCCTTCATAATCCATGTCTGGCATTCCGTGCACCATGTTCCTTTTCGACAACCTTCTCAAACCAGCATGATGTAGATGACCAAAGCGTAGATGCCATAGTGACACTTTATCTTGGATATCGAGTTATAGACATTTCTATCGAACGTTCCTTAGATCAATTTGTACATTCGATTTCTCTCCATTTCGAAACGAGCAATCAAATGTCCCACTCTGTCCTTCAAATGCAGTATCTAATCTTTTATAAGTATTGAAAACCCTTTTTCTGTAAGTTGTCCTAAACTCAAGATGTTGGTCTTGATATCTGGTACATAATAAACATATTGGATTGAACCAATCAAGCAATCCTTCTGTAAGTATCAAATTATACCCTTGCCTTCGACCTTAACTTTCGATGCATCTCCGAAAGACACATTACCATCTTCAATTTTTTTTCATTTCTTTAAACAGGTGTTTGTGACCACACATGTGATTACTTACTCCTTAGTCAAGATACCAAACATTGTCATTATTGGTGTTGATTTCAGTTTTATCCATCAAGATAAAACCTTCATTTGCTCCATCTTCTAAAGCTAGATTGGTTGTTTCTTCTACCTTCTTTTCAATTCGACAATCTTTTGCAAGATGTCACACTTTATCATAGTTATAACATTTGTAAGAGTTGCAATCCTTCACGTTATGACCATACTTCCCACACTTGTAGCATTCGAAGTTGGAGTGGTTCGACTGTTCACCTTTTTGACCACGTCCTCTACCACGCCAATTTTGCTGGTTCGACTCTCCTCTCTCAAAGTTGTTGCCTCGACCACTGTCTTGAACTCCACCTCCACGTCCTCTTCCTCGAAAGTTTTGAGAAAAAAGTAAATTTTCGTCTTTGATCAACTTCTTGGTTTGATTTGCTTCCTCGACTACTTCTTCCTTTTTTTTCATCTTATGTTGTTCATGTGCTTCGAGAGAACCAGCGAGTTCTTCAACTGGGAGTGTCGAAAGGTATTTCGACTCTTCTATTGCACACACACAATATTCTCAAATTTATCTGTTAAAGATCTCAAAATATTTTCAACAAATCATGCATCAGTTACTGTTTCTCCATTTCTAGTGAGTTGTTTCACCACCTTTTATACACACGTGATGTAGTTAAATGCAATTTCTGATTCCTTCATCTGCATCCTCTCCAATTCGCCACAAAGAGTTTGGAGTCGAACTTACTTTACTCGGTCTTCTCCTTAGAACAATTTCTCTAACGTGTCTCATGCTTCTTTCGACGTAGTCGAATCGACAATATTTTTGAAGCCTGATTCGTCAACAGCCTTGAACAGCATGTATAGTGACGTTTTATCCTTCAATCACGTCTCTTTCAACGCCTTGTTTTGAGCTGTCGTATATCCCGCAACATCTGTTGGTTCTTCAAACCCATCTTTGGTCACCTCCTACGCGTCTAGAGATCTTAGATGAGCTTTCATTTGGATACTCCAGTTTTCATAATTTGACTTTGTTAGCCGTGGCAACGACATTTGATTCGTCATGTTTGCCATTAGCTCTGATGCCGATTTGATAAAAGGAAGCAAATACTTTATAACTTCTTATCAAATAGAATACAACCTTGGTCTTTTTATAGACTCAAAGATTTCTTCTATTCTAAGAAAACAAATAACATTAGTAAATACTATTATAGGTCAATATCTCTTGGCCTTCCAACTTCAACAGTCTCTTAATATTTCCACTAACTCATAATAGAAACCCACTAACTATAACATTACAGTTTATTTAATACATTCCTTTGCTCGTTCTCCACCTGTAGAACTTGCTCTTCACTCCTTTTCTAAATCACTTTTTGTTCATGTACACTTAAGGATTCTTACAATTCATCTACTGTGAGATCATCAATGTCCTTGGACTCTTCGATGGAACACACCACAAAGTTGAAGTTGTCCATGAGACTTTGAAGTATTTTTTCAACAATTTTGACATCGTTCATGTCTTCTCCGCAGTTCCTCATGTCATTGGCAATAGACATGAATCTTGTGAAGCACTCAGATACACCTTCTCCCAATTTCATTTCAAGGGTTTTGAATGTTCTGCGAAGCCATTTGATCTATGCACGCTTCACTCTAGCACTTCCCTGATACTTAACTTTCATTGAATCCCACAATTGTTTGGTTGTTTCCTTCCGGGTGATGGTTTTCAAGATGCTCTTGTCTATGGACTGAAAAAGATAGTTCTTTTCTTTGAGATCTTTGAGTTTTACTTCTTTAATTGCTTTCGCGCTAATGGCTTAGGTCCCTTCGAGCCCAGTTTCGATGACCCTCTAGTACTCCTTGGAACGGAGGAGATTCTCCATAAGTAAGCTACAATGGTCGTAGTCACCATCGAATTTTTGAACACATGGTGTTGAGAAACTTTATGCTGCCATTTTTCCTTTCTTCTATGATTTTCCTCTCAAACACTATTGC